TTATTTCAAAATTATGCCAAAATATGCTGTAAAACCAATAAAACTCTAAAATATACATTTATATGCACAATAAAAATGACATAATTTCAATAAGAATGACTGGAAACATGCATAATTACATTGAAAAATAGGAATAAACCCTAGGAAAAAAATATGACATGTCACAGAAATCCGGACCCTACTCATCACTCTCATCTTCATTTCGCTCCAATGTATTGAAACTTAAATGTATGTGCATTTGATGGAACTTCATTCAGCTCTGCGGGTCATGTGACCAGTACTTCCAAACACCAAATGTGAGTTCAGGATATCACAAATGGGGTGATCTACACAATAACATCTACGGATGTAAACAAAGACATATTGGTACTAATGTATCACCATTTGTTTACTGTGAAAAGGTGCAGCACTCTATTGTTGTTTGACTATGTGTCATTTAATATGTCTTCTGATGGCTTTGATGAGCAAATAACTTATTACACACCGCATAGCTCTATGTCTGCTTCCCACTATGTGTGCGCAGATGCCTCCTCAGACTACCCTGATAACTGAATGATTTATTACACACATCACAGCAAAAAGGCCAGTCACCACTATGTATGCGTTGATGTTTCTTCAGATTACTGCCTTTTCTGAATGACTTAGTACACATATTACAGCTAAAAGGCTTCTCACCACTATGTATACATTCGTGTATCTTCAGATGACTCAGCCAAATGAATGACTTATTACACACATCACAGCAAAAAGGCCGGTCACCACTATGCATGCGCTGATGTACCTTCAGATTACTGCTATTACTGAATGACTTTGTACACACATCACAGCAAAATGGCCGGTCACCACTATGCATGCGCTGATGTTTCTTCAGATTACTGCTATTACTGAATGACTTAGTACACACATCACAGCAAAACGGCCGGTCACCACTATGCATGCGCTGATGTTTCTTCAGATTACTGCCTTTACTGAATGACTTAGTACACAGATCACAGCTAAAAGGCTTCTCACCACTATGTATACGTTGGTGTATCTTCAGATGACTCAGCCAGCTGAATGACTTATTACACACATCACAGCAAAAAGGCCGGTCACCACTATGCATGCGCTGATGTACCTTCAGATTACTGCCTTCACTGAATGACTTATTACACACAACACAGCAAAATGGCCGCTCACCACTATGTACGCGTTGATGTTTCTTCAGACTAACCTGCTGACTGAATGACTTAGTACACACATCACAGCTAAAAGGCTTCTCACCACTATGTGTATGCTGGTGTATCTTCAGATGACTCAGCCACCTGAATGACTTATTACACACATCACAGCAAAACGGCTGCTCACCACCATGTACGCGTTGATGTTTCTTCAGACTAACCTGCTGACTGAATGACTTAGTACACACATCACAGCTAAAAGGCTTCTCACCACTATGTGTACGCTGGTGTATCTTCAGATGACTCAGCCACCTGAATGACTTATTACACACATCACAGCAAAACGGCCGCTCACCACTATGTACGCGTTGATGTTTCTTCAGACTAACCTGCTGGCTGAATGACTTATTACACACATCACAGCAAAAAGGCCTGTCAGCACTATGCATGCGCTGATGTACCTTCAGATTACTGCTATTACTGAATGACTTGTTATGCACGTCACAGCAAAATGGCCTCCCCCTACTGTGTATGTGTTGATGTGTCTTGCAGTGAACCCTTAGATTACACTGTTGAGTGAATGATTTATCACACTCATCATAGGAATATCGCTGCTCCCCACTGCACATGGGTTGGGGTCCACTTGGAGTACTCTGCAAAACAAGAGGAAACAACATGAAAAACTCCCCTATTATGAGAAATAATTTTGAAACTCATGATCAAACAGGTGTTAAAAAGGGTAGATGTGAGAGAGTACACAGAGATAAAGCAGTTATGTGTGGTGTGTGGGTCTCCATCAACATGTATGGGTAACTGAGTCAATTAAAGTTAAGCTACACTACTATTACATAGTAAATCACAGAATTAAACAGTATTATGCATTTGTGGGCTGTATTATTATTATTATTATTTAGTTTGTTTTGTTATATGCATTAATGTGTCTTCCAATGTTTACCTTGAATGAATGAATGAATGTATAAGGGGGTGGGCCTTCTTGGCCCTTGCACCGCAAGCACAGTGATCTATTGTTCCTCCCTTTCTGATTAACCCCTCAAGAATCCTGCACTTCGAATGAAGCGCAGGATCTTGTATGTGGGGATGTCGAAATAGTCACTTGGTTCCATAAAATATTTACCCAAGTGACACAATCTTAAATAAGCTAAGGCCTCACATTCGCACAGGATATGTGTGGCTGTTTCGTTTTCTTCTTGACACCTCTCACAAGTTGGACTTTTACTTAGTCTCAATTTGAAGACGTGTCCTTTGTGGTGACAGTGTCCTGTAAGTAGTCCTACCACCCATTGTAGCTGGTTTCTGTTTAACTTCAACAGTTCCTTTGCTTGTTTAGTAGAGGGTCCTCGTATGAGTCCCTTTGCTTGCCTGAGTCCAGTTAAGGATCCCCAGTATTTCTTGTGCTTCATATTTGTCCAGTCCCTGATTGCCTGTCTGGCAACTCCTATAGAGATGCCACAGGCTGGTTCAGGTCCTATGAATGGATGGTCAGCTCCAATTGGTCTGCTGTTTCATTTCCAGCAATACTCTCATGCCCTGGCACCCATATCAGTTGTACCCTGTTATGTTTGGCCAGTTCCATGTGAATTTGGTGGCAATCCCAGACCAATTTTGAGTTGATCTGGTGTTTGTCAAGTGCTTTAAGTGCAGCTTGGGTGTCAGATAGAATGTAGATGTTCCCATTTCTGTAGTTCCTATCTAGATTCTCCATAATACACGCCTTAATGGCATATACTTCTGCCTGGAATACCGTAGTGTACTGCCCAAGGCTGAAAGTAAGTTTCCGCCTCATGCCATAGTAGAACACACCAGCTCCAGTGCCCTTATTTATCTTGGAACCATCTGTATACCAGATCAGTCCCCCTTTTCTAGCCAGCCAAAACCCATCTTCCCATTCACTCCTGTCAGGAAATCTGACTGTGAATGGTTTTTCATATACGTGTCTGAGTATCATTTTGTCAGACCCCATTTGTATTACTGGTTCTTTTTTCATGTCCTGAGTTATGTATGCATGTCTGAAACTACCGAATTTAGGTTTCCATTGATCACTGCACTGGAGATGGTAGATTCCTGCCCTGGCCTCTGCCTCCAACTGTAAATGCAGTGGGGAGAGTCCAAGGAGTGTCTCCAGTGCAGCTGTTGGAGATATTCGAATTGTTCCTGTGATACCCAAGCAAGCCAACCTTTGCATTTTTCTAAGTTTTGCTTGCTTGTCATGATTTTAACTCTGGGCCACCATACTGTGGCACCATATGTAATTATGGGTCTTACTACTGCAGTGTATATCCAATGCACAACGTGCAGTTGCAATCCCTAGGGTTTACCAAACATGCTTCTGCATGTCAAAAAAGCCTTATAGGCTTTATTGATGACCTTATCCAGCTGCTTTTTCCATGCCAGTTCCTTGTCTAATACTAGACCAAGGTACTTGACATCGCTGGAGAGCTGGATCATCTTATGGAAGAGGGTCAGTTCCTTAAGGCCCTTTATATTTCTCTTCCTGGTAAATGGTATAATTACCATCTTATAGGGATTGATGGAAAGGCTTGTTCTTTCTCACCATCGTTGGACCATGTACAGAGCTGTTTGAAGGCACTCTGATACTGTCAAAAGGAATTTTCTGTTTATGAGGATTGCTATGTCATCAGCATATTCTACTGTATAACACCCATCATCAAGTCCCCATAGGAGATCGTCAACGACCAGGCTCCACAGCAGAGGCGAAAGCACGCCCCCCTGTGGACACCCCCTAGACACGGACGCCCCCAGGGTCTCTCTTGATAGTGTGGCAGTTATGGTCCTGCTTTCCAGCATAGCACTGATCCATCTGCATATTGCAGGCTCTATGCCATGCTTTCCAGCGGAATGTTTACCTTCAATCTGTCTTGATTTTATCCTGTGTTTGTCAAGTATATAACTACTTTTATCTACACTGTGGTGTGTTTGTAATTGGCCTTCCAGCTGTTGTCTCAGCACATAAATAGTAAGGAAGTGAATTATGGCTCTACAGCCCTTTGTTGGACCATGGCCGCTTTTTCCAGTTTCGGCTCTGCTGTTTGCTCTGGGGGTTCAAAATGGTGGCACCAAGCTTCGTCCCCAGTTGCAATACGGGACAGAAAAGCACACTCTTCCTCATGGTATCATTGCAAGTGACCCAGTGATGCAGCCATTCTCTTCCTCCGTGAGTTGACGTGGAACCCACTGCACAGATTTTGCGGTACAGAAGGTGTTTTGTCACAATGACGTGTACAGAACCGTGACTTATTCCCATCAAAAGACTAACTTCTTCCACAGTGATCGTCGGTTTGGCCAGATATGACCATCCAACGCAGCAATAACATCAGGAGTGATGACACGATGAGCCTGTCCTGGGTGAGCATCATCTTGCATTGACACACTTCCCTCTCAGAATCTCTTATGCCATGCCAGCACATGTGAACGTGACACGCTGTGTTCGCCGTAAACAACAGACATGCGATGATGAATTTATCATCCTCCTACTCCTTAAGCAGTCAAAAAGCGCACTACACTTAGCTGTTCTTCTTTACCTGCCTCCATTACTGATGCTGGATGACCAAACGTAGCGATAACCTTACTTCCAGCACAATAAACAAATGGCTAGTGTGCAAGTGCACATTGTCACTGTGTGCCACCCAGGTTGCACGCAGCTGCGTAATAAAACTCCGGAATGTTTGCTAGTATTCAGTAACATGACCTAGCTGTTTTCTTACCCTCCTCTAATGGAAAATGCTTTCTGCTGTCTTCAATTTGTTTGTACCAGCCAGTAGTTAGTGGTGGGGTATGGGTCAAGGACAAATCCTTCTCCAATGAGCTTACGTGCCTTGTGAGACGCGTAGTGATGCTGACTCAGACAGTGGCAGTGACAGGGGAGAACAAAGAATTGTGGCCACAGACAGTAAAAGTGACAGTAGCTCCGACGAAAACACGGGTAGTAAGATTGCGGGGACAGCAAATAATATAATAAAAATCACAAAAATCTAAACCCTGATTCGAAATCGAAATATAAAGCATTTCTGATGACTGTGGCAAAGGCCTGGGCTACAGACCATATGGTGGCAGCAGAACCAGGGTCAGACACAGACTTAGTCCAACCAGGCCCATCAACTCCCACCCCATGCAGGCCTCATGTTGACAACCCAGGGTGACTCTCGGGTGATATGCGAAACATACCTTCGTGAAAATTGTGAAGAGTGAACATTCCAAGGGAAGCATCCTTCTAGGCAATGCAGTGTTTGTGCAGTTCACAAAAAAAGGACTATGTCTACATTTGCAAGTGTGTAATGCCACTTCACAAAGGGGAATGTTTCCAGAAATATCACACTCTCAAGCATTTCTAGGAGCACTGGTAAGTGTTCTCCAAAAAATTTTAGTTCATAAAATTAATTAGGAGATTTTATATTAATTTTTAAAGTAAACAGTGCACAAGTTAGGATACTAGGTTAAATAATGCTGGTTCGCAGGGTGATTTAAATATTTAAATCGCCGGTCTGCAATGAGTTAATACTGAGGAACAGACCGAACAGAAAACACTATTACTCTGTTGCTATGGAAACATGCTTATTTGTGGAGCTGTTACATAGCAACGGCTCTTGTACAGTTGCTTATTTCATGGTCGTAGCCTAGCAACGGGTCTACATGCCACAATAATATTGTCCTCCTAAGATCCTTTTTATTCTTTCCATCTTTCCAGATAAACTTACTGCTTTCCTTACTCTGCTTGGCTCACGGTAAATGAAGTGGTCTTAAAATGAGGGATACCTATATTTGTGAAAATCACTTAATATGGACACAGAGACACAGCTCACCTCAGGTTCAGCCTTTATTCTTTGAAATGTTATTGGCACAGGATACTTCTCTTCTTCTGCATCTGACACTTCCTCAGCTTTTACATTGTTGGCATGACATGCATCATGAGCAGATGCTGGACGTACCACACTACACAGTCTTTGTACTTCCTCTGAATCTGCAAGGTTCTGTGAAACAATAATGCTGTATCTATCATAGCTACACATTCACATCCCATGCAAGAAATTCTGGGAAGATCTAATTACCTGTTTTTCTCTGATATGACATGAACCACAAAGAAAATACCTCCATTAATTATTCAATTTTTGCATGTGAATTCATTGACAGGAACGTGTTTACTGAGGCACAGCCTAGCAATCTCGCTTTCACCTAGCAACAGAGCCATTGCGTAGCAAGGATAGGGACCATATAGACACAGATACACAAGAAAAGTAGGCTAATAAGATATGAACTGTTGGAGGCAATACTTTCTCTACATTCTGACAGAGGACAACTCTGATCAGGATCATGGGTACAAGTCAGTTGCAGCATATAGAAACTGAGGAGTTTGAAGACCTGATTACCGAGTCATTCTCTAAGATTGCCCATTGCTGTGGAGCTCAGTAAAGATGTTCCCACAACAAAGAATACGATACAAGAACTGTTGGACACAGTGTTTACTATGTGGTCTGCATCTAACCTGTTTTCACCAAACCATTGCCTACCAACATGTCTCTTTATGACTTCACTATTCCAGCTATCAGGCCTCAAGTCACACTGCATTCGAATGCTGTTGGACACATTCTTTTTCAGAGGGTCCAGGTCATCTCAGATACTCAATATGTAGTGAAAAGAAGTAGGTGATTAATTTTCCCCAGAACTTCCCCTTACTGTCTCTGTGTTTGTGTCCTCCCTATCCACGCTACACAATGGAGTCTCCTCTTCAACCAAAGGAAGGATCGGCCTTTCAGTGCAGGGTGTCTGGCTCAGCATAACGGCAGACCTCCTCTTTCCTCTCAGACAGAGAAATATTGTCAATTTTGAACCTAATACATTGGGTTAGACCAAAGAGACAACATTTAGTGTAATACCAAAAAGTGTGTGAGGAGAGCAGCAGACTGTGAGAGTCAGAGTTCCCACAGTATCAAATACACATAAAACAGCAGAAGAACTGTTCGGTGCATAGTTTTCTATGGGGTACTTGTCATATCAAAGGAAAGCAAGTAACTAATGCTTCCCGTACTTTCTTGTTTCTTCAAAATAAGGAAGTAGGCTAGAAATAGTCCATACTTTCTTTTTTAATGGCATCAAACTGACAACAGCTGCCTTGTACAGATTTCTTCTCTGGAACTTCAAAATAATTACAAACTATTAAGTCTATGGAACACATCCCTTCTATAGAACCTGGAGGTCACTCAGCTGTTCTACAGTATGTCTGCTTTCCATGGAACTCAATAAAGTCCATTATCATGTTCACAAGAGCCTGTCATGTGTCTGTACTCTAAGGGAAGTAAATCCAGTCCAAACCCTCCCACCACAATTCTTTAAAATGTGTTTCAATCTATTACTTGTCCATTTCAGATTTATTATTGAAACTGCAGTACATGTTTCTATGGGTATATAGTTACTGCCACACCAACATATCTGCTTTGCTCATTTGTGTAAATAATGCAGTATGTTTTGGCCTTACGCAACCATCCTCAAGCATATTATATGTAGTAAGTTCTTTTCTGTCTTTCTATTGATGGAAGTACTACTGAAAGTTAATTAAAGGATTAAGTTAAAGACTTTTTAATGTTCACATTAATTAAACTGCTTTTATCACTTGAAGCTAAAAATCAATCCATGCTTTTCCCCTCTCAGGACTAAACATTACAATGCACTTCTTATACGTAGGGCAGTCAAAGAGTTCCCGGAATTCCCCTGCAGACGGAGAACGAGCGATAAGATGTTCCGTTTGAATTAGGCTTGAGTGTTGGTCATTCTGCTTCAGACACGCTATCGGCCCTGCAGCAAGTTTACGGTGATACTGCACTATAGAAATCCACAGTTTACGACTGGTTTTCCAGGTTTAAGAATGGGCAGGAGACGTTAGAGGATGACCAGCTCAGCAGGAGGCCTCTAACATCCAGAACCGAAGAAATGATTGGAAAAGTGCGACAACTGATTCGATGTGATCGAAGAATGACCATTGCTGAGTTGGAGCAAGAAGTTGGTACTGTTACTGACCATTTCTATGTGCAGATTTTGTAGAGGTTGTGCAATGCGGTTCGGAGGAAGCAGCGTGACAAGTGGCACGGACAGTGGGTTCTGCATCACAATAAGGAACCGAGCCCCACATCGCTTGTTGTGCAGCAATTCCTCGCTGACACATTCCTGTCATCACTCAACCACAGTACTCTCCACATCTTGCTCCAAGTGACTTTTGGCTGTTCCCTACTCTGAAAATGGGCCTCAAGGGGACATGTTTTGCAACCATGGAGGACATCAAATCGAATGCGATGGATGAGCTCCGAAGATCCCAAAAGAAGCCTTCCACCGCTGCTTCCAACAATGGCAGGATCAATGGAGCAAGTGTGTGCGCGCGCAAAGGTCCTACTTTGAAGGTGATTAGGTAAGCGTTGCCATATGTCCTACCATTAGAGTGCTATACCACCATTCCGGGAACTTTTTGACTGCCCCTCATACATGGGTGTCCAGTGTAGTTCTACTGTCCATGATTCTTGTTTGCTGGATGTGTTCTTGACAGTAAGTGGAAAAAGTCCTTTGCAGTTTGAAAAGACTGGTGTGCCTCATCATACGTAGGTTTCGGCACCATTACTTTATCACTGGCCCAGGCTTATTGGGTGCGATGTTTGTGCTTGGTGAGTGATGACTCTTTTAACCATCCGATTGCCAAGAACTACCAGAGAACTACCTGCCTGAAATGCCTAAGCAACTCTGGGGAAGGGGTAACTGAGGATGAGCACAAAAACCCTCAATACTTCCCAAGATAATTTCTGAATAACCACAGATGTGCACAGTGTGGAAGCCTGCTGTTTCTCCAGTGGTCTTCTTCCTTCAGATGTAACATGTGGATCTTTCTATGCATTTCTCACACTCATGCTACGAGGGCAAATCAAAAAGTCTTTGCCCCTATTTTTTTTCAGCCACAATACTATACATACAGGGAAATCAAAATACAGGCAGTGTTCTAAGTACCTTTGACTATTTTTCCACATAGTCACCACACCAGTTCAGGCGTTTGTACCATCGCACCACTAGTTTGGAGATGACGCTTTTGTAGAATTTGGCCGGTTTAGCGCAGAACCACCGCCAGACAGCGGTTTTCGCATCATCGTTGGAAATGAACTTCTGGCTGCCAGGAACTTCTTTAGTTGATCTTCCTGGATCTCACTGTCACCAGAGATGAAATGTGGGTATTGCATTTCACTCCAGAATCCAAGCAGCAGAGCATGGTGTGGAAACATCCCGGTTCGCCTGCCATGAACAAATTCCGCAGAATACCATCCATCGGGAAGTTGATGGTCACGGTCTTCTGGGATCGCTGAGGACCACTCCTGCTGGATTTCATGCTACGAGGTGCCACCATCAATGTGGACAGCTATTGTGGCACACTTGCACATCTGCAAGCTGTCATCAGGAAAAAGTGCCTAGGGATTCTCATGGACGATGTGGTTCTCCTCCTTGAAAATGCCACGACTCATGTGGCAAACAGGACCGCCACCCAACTGCAGTCATTCGGATGCAAGATTATGGAGCATGCACTGTATAGTCCAGACCTTGCCCCCCAGTGATTACCACGTGTTTGGTCCTCTGAAGAAGTTCCTGGCAGGCCAGAGGTTCATTTCCAACAATGACATGAAAACTGCTGTCCGGCGGTGGTTCCGTGCTCAACCGGCTGCATTCTACAATAGCGGCATCTCCAAACTTGTGGTGTGATGGTACAAATGCCTGAACTGGGGTGGTGACTATGTGGAAAAATAGTCAAAGGTACTTACAACACTGCCTGCATTTTGATTTCCCTGTATGTGTATTATGGTGGCTGAAAAAAACTTGGGGAAAAGACTTTTCGATTTGCCCTCATACATAACTTGCCCACACCATTCTTCTTAAATTGATCATTCTAGTACACAATATGTTAAATCAGGGGCATATAGTAGCATAGTTGGCTGAGGCACTATGCTACAAGCCAGAAGGTCACAAGTTCAAGTCCCAATGAGGTAACTGGATTTTTTCAATTTATCTAATCCTTCCAGCCACACTATGGCCCTGGGTTCAACTCAGCCTCTAACAGAAATGAGTACCAGGAATATTCTTGGGGGGTAAAGGGCGGCTGGCACGTAGGGCTGACAACCTTGCCGCCATCTATAAGCCAACTGTCTAGAAAATGTGGGAACCTCAACATCCCACAACCCTATGGGCCTCCACGGCCTGTTACAGGGATACCTTTATTTAATATGTTAAATCACTAATAATACTGTGACATGTTGACTACAACCATCCATAAAATAAATGACCACGTGGATTATAAAAGTTAACACAATCTTGCAACAAAGTATTTGCTTCCTTTGAACCTGTTTATTCAGGGATGAAGATAAATACATTCTGCCCTGTGCAAACAAGCACATAACACTCACCATGATTTCTCTCAGTGAAGGAAATATTTCTTCAACTCTCGGTAGCATAACACGAGGCACTCTCGTTGCAAGAGAATGTAGAATTCTTTGCAAACGTTGAATTCGTTCCTCACACATGATGCTCCGTGGGCTGTGAACGAAGTAGGTTATAGCAATCCTACTGATATGGACTTTTGGGTTCTGATAAATGTATCAAAATCTAACTTTGAATAACTTCCCAAGTCCTGAAGAGGAATATATTGATCATCATTAGTATATGTACATGTATCTTATAGCAACAGGGTTCTGTCTGCAGACATTATGAATCTTGCTATCTTCTTGGGCGCTATGCTGTCTGGTGATTTGTCAAAGTTGTAAGCTCTTGCAAAATCACCCAAGACTGTGGTCTCTGAAACATAACAAGAAATCCACAACACTACAAGATGTTACATCTCGTAAGTCACTAAGCTATACTCCGTGCATTCGCTACCCACTTCAATACACTGCAACTACAATTAAGTCACCCTACACCATCGGTTCTCTAGACCTTTTTAATGAATGGATTTGCATGTGAAACATGGAATGACTTAAATTTCTGTATGCGCATTGAATCAGAAAGTCTGAACTCGGAAAAAAAAACACTAATTAATTTAGAACCACCACGAGGAAGTGCGGAAACTTTATTTTGTTTGAACAAAACAACAACGCTTCAATAATACACACATTTAAGGATGTTTTCTTCTCACAATTTAATATAAAACTCATAGAAATCGCATTTGTTTTTTGCAGTTGTCTTCTCAGTCCTCACAAACAGTATTCAGATTGGTTACATAAAAGTCTATTCGTTCAAAGCGCCAGTTAAAGACGCCAACAAGATTATGCCAAACACATATGTTATCATAGTTACCGATCGTTAGTATTACGGTATTAACCAATTATAATCCTGCCTCAGCAATAACTGTAATTATCATCTAGTATCACACATGTTCTAGCGTATTCTAGTATCTGCACTTCGTGAAGTTCTTGAAGTTCTTGAAGGTATAGTGATCAGTAACGATCGTAATGATCGGTAATGACCGCTCACCGTCCCGCCGGTCACCGCCACTGCGATGACTGCGATCACTGCGATCGCTCTGTGGCCATCGGTGGCCATCGTGGCTTTTGGTGTATGAATGTGTATGTTATGAACGAAGGTGAGTTTGTATTCAGCGGTGTTCAGTACCTGAAACTGCTTCTATACAACTGTCTGATAGAAAAATTCACTCACTTGACAGCTCAGTATTGGTTAAAATTTTTTTAAAATATCTATTGGAATTTCCCAAAAAAGTGAGTTAAATTTCTCTTTCGGAATACATGGAACATAACCTTAATTTATATACTGTGCCCAGATTATTATCTAGGCTTCTGGAGGTGTTGAAGTGTAATAGGTACTGTGGTTAGAAAATCGTACAAGTTGCCTTTAGTACGAATTTATACTTTTGGCATTAGGCCTATTTCGTTATGTTAGTAATAATAATAATAATAATAATAATAATAATAATAATAATAATAATAATAATAATAATACAGCGTTGGGGTTAAGAATACGTGGAACTCCCTCGCCACGTCCCCAGTGCATCTTCACGGCATAATTCCTAGACAAGTAGCGTTTTGCTATATTTTAAGTAAACCTGACTTTTAACTGTTGCATTCCCGTGTACCTTTTGCTTTTGTGCTGAGGTGGCACCCAAAGGTGGTGGTGTTTTGTTATAAAAATACACCTTTTTTAAATTGTGTAATTCATAACCCGTGTATTCTACAGCTTGAAGTGTTTCACCATATTTTACATGACCTAGCATGTATACTGTCAATATGTGTCACCTCCTATAATTGTGTAAAAAGGTAAAGTTGTCCCAGGGCTTAAATAACTAAACACTACGATATGAAGGCATATGGGGGAGCGGATGTATAGATCCACATTTTCTCGACCTTGACATTAGTTGAAAGTGAGTGGTCAGCTTCACGCCCCGGCCGCCTTACCCTCAGGGAAGAGACTCTAGTACACGCTGGATAGGTGGCTGGGTGGGTCCCAGAGCCGGTCTGGAGGATGTGGAGAAGAGAAAATTTTTGACCCCTACTGGGACTCGAACCTCAGTCATTCACACTCTAGCCGGTCACTATACCAACTACGCTAGCCTGGCTCCCTGTTATAGTTGTATACAGATACGTTTTTTTTTTTTTTTAGAAATTGCAATGGTAAGTGCACAGTCCTTGCTCAGTGACACTAAGTCAGTTTAATTGGTTGTGAAGTGTAGAACGATAAATTGCTAGTCCTTGGTAAATCGAAACAACTTATTGAGGCTGTGTTAATTTGTAACATTAGATGTTATTATCATAAAGGATGTCTGATCAGTCATTACTTTGGTGTAACCTAAGAATTTATACTGTGCTTAATAGAAATGGGTGAGGTTATAAAGTGTTATGATATGAACTAAATTTGAAAAGTTTCATTATGCAATTCAAGGATCTTAAAATGTTCCAAATTGAAGTATAAATTTGTATAAAACAAGATATATAATTTTTGTAGATTATAGTTGTGAAAAGGTTGAGTTCAATTAAGGTAGTATTACGTCTTTATCAAAAAAAAGAATTTCATTCCTTTAAAAGATAAAACAAATGGAATTTAGTGATCATATAGAAATGCAGAAGATTGCAATTACACGAAGGAATTTTTAAATGTTACCTCAATTGTTTGTAGTAAGCACAGTATAAATTTTTAGAATGTACATACAACCATGTTAAAAAGACTTGAGCAATGTTGCCAGCGTGTTGATTGATTGAACTTCCCTGATGATGGAATTCTGATATCAAAACACATTGGACCATCAGCTATTTAAATTACTTGTAAGTAAATAAATAACATCTCATATTATAAATTGAAAGTGCCTTGATAATTGTCTAAAGTTAAATGAGTAAGGAGCAGAACATGTAATTTGAAAGTCATATTAGTAAAGTTCACCCACTTTCTGTTGTTCATAATATTGTGTGATTTAAGGTTCTCACATTAATGGTTATGAAGAGGTCTATCTTCTGGGATACAACTCTTTATTCATAATATTGTTTGAATTTTCATATATTGAAGGTTAATTCATAGAATCAGTTTTGGTAATGTGTCTGGTTGATGCATGTAAATTATGGGCAGGCTGTGAGTCAGGATAATGATTGATCAGTGTTGCTTATCGTCATCAGTTAATGTATACTATTATTTGAAATGATTCACCCTTCTTCAGCATAAATCTGAAGTTGGCAAATGTGGTCTTGTACTAGAGTTCATTTTGAGAAGTTGATGGGACAATTACTGATATTTACTGTCAGTTCTTCTTATGTGAGTACTTACCATGGGTTTAGTACCCCCATGCAGCTTGATTTATTCAACTTTTGATGTTATTATAGATGCAAAAGCAAACTTGAACTTTTATTTGCTGAACATGGAAATTTGAATATACACAGTCTGCCAAACATACTTGAGTACTGCACACACCAGCACATGGTGTAGTATATCAGTCTAACCAGTCCATCACTTTTGCACCCATGTGTATGTGGAAAACTGGTATTGGGAGATTTTATGCATCCATGTTTATGTGTCTTCATTTGCCCCATGAAATATTAAGTTTGGCCGGTGTGGATTTGCTCAATGTGCTTTTCTCGGGAATGTAACTCTGGTGTTGGGCAAGGTTTTACTATAGGTCATTTTAATATTCCATGTTCTTACTTGTACACACTTGGTGAAAGTCATAACGACCAATAAGTCCATGATTTTTGGCTTAAAATTCTGACTAGAGAGAGAATTATTATATACTCATGTTGAAAATGATTAGAATTGTGTGTTCAGAAATGTCAAAATAGTAAGGTGACATGCCTCGTAGTTTATATATATGTTGAAGCATTATGATTTTGTTTCATTGCAGCATAGGTANGTGTTCTTACTTGTACACACTTGGTGAAAGTCATAATGACCAATAAGCCCATGATTTTTGGCTTAAAATTCTGACTAGAGAGAGAATTCTTATATACTCATGCTGAAAATGTGTGTTCAGAAATGTCAAAACAGTAAGGTGACATGCCTCGTAGTTTATATATGTTGAAGCATTATGATTTTGTTTCATTGCAGCATAGGTACTAATATTTATGTAATAAGGACCGTTGTAAATTAAATTGGTACAATATTTGTAGACTACCAATATACAGTACTCACAGATGTTCATGCAGTCATGATACATCAAGCGCATTACAGTGCACTCCATTAATGGAGGTTTTGAACTATATTTTTGAGCACATGACTTGGTGAAAGATACAGCAGTGTGTGTTGTTACCATTATTTTCTCTTCTCATAGGATAGTTGTTGATTTTTGAACATATGCAATTAAAAGTGTATGTTCTTCTGTTTCAGTTGGGTCCATCACTGGAAATCTTCAGCATGGTAAGCAGCAAGTTTCTTACATATTCTAAAATTTGTCATGCCTTTGAGTTGCATTCGTATGCAGGAGAAGCCTAGGAATGAGATGATGGGTGACTATACTTGTATGTATGTTTGTGTCTGTGTTTCAGAACTTTTGTGCTAGTTGACCAGTGTTTTTAAAACGGATAAAATTTGTTATTTTAGGATTTTTGTAATGTGTTTATGAACATTCCTACTGTCAGTGATAGTAACATGATGTTTTGGATGGAAACAGTGCTAGTTCCATTAGTTGTGGGATCACAAAATTATGTGCTGATAGCGCTTTGTGGAATGTGCAGATGTTCTTTAGGTCAGTTTTGTCTGAAGTGGAAAAAGACAATAAATAAAGCTAAGTATGTGAAATATAGTTTGGTGGGAGATGTGAACATGCATGCAGACTTTGTTTGAAACTTTTTGGTGTGTGCATATAGTGAAATGAACTTGAGCTGTGTGTGCAGGAAAATGAACCTGTCACTATTAGGTCGAGTCTCAACTGAGCTTCTTGTCTGACTCAGTTTGGTGAAGTACCAAGTCATGATCATAATATTGTAACGTGGGCACATCGTTGCTAGGTAACTGACCACAAAATACATGCAAGGCAACAATGGGAGTGCAGTGTCCTGCACAAAAACATTAATGTTGGTGCTTAGAATTTTCTGCTAGTATCAGTATGTTACTACTGGTGCATGACCCATCAGTGGTGTTGGGCAGAGGAATTTCTTTCTTTACCTTATTTCTTCTGTGTCTTTTTCCTCTTCCCTGCATTCTCTCTTATTACTTTCCCATACCTTTTTTCTGTATCTTTTATCCCCCTAACTTCCTCTCCATAACATTCAAACAGTTTCCTCATCTCTGTTTCTTCCATTCTCATATCCTTTTATCTTTTTCCATCCATTTTGTTTTCCTTTTGGATCCCATTTATTTGCCCAGCCCATTGTCATTTTTGTCCCCATATACATATAATGAGAAGCGTAAGATAATTTGAGTTTTCCCTATATGCTAACTACAGCACATTGGGTTATGTCCAGATTTGAGCAGAACTTGTTTTTACATATAAAGGTATTCGAGTTGTCCGTTTATGAATAAAAACAAGTACATTTCTCATCCAAAGTGTTTTGTGTTTTTATTCTGGCTCCTGTTTTTAGTTGGTGGTAGGGAATTTGTGCAGGCCTATGAATGATTAATTATCTCATGTTGTCAGAGCTTGTTGGTTGCATGTGGTTGCTATATTTTGATGTTTTAAGAAACTAAGGTATCATCAGAAGTAGTCAGTACAGCGACAGGCTATGGGCTGGAAGGCCTGGATTCAATTCCTGGAAGGGCAAGATTTTTCTCTTCCGCACAACATCCAGACTGACTCTGGGGTCTACATAGCCTCTTATCCAGTGGGTACTGTGGGCTATTTCCCTGGGGGTAAAGCAGCCTGGGATGTGAAACTGATCGCTCACCTCCTAGTGCTGACGTAAAGAATAGTGGGGCTACACCTCCACTCCCCCTATGTCTTTGTGGCATAGTGCTTAATTAATTAAGCCCAAGGACAACTTTATTTATTTATTAAAAGTTTCATCAGAAGAATGTCTCTAAAGGTTCATGGTGTTCGTTTCTTCAATTTCAGTCAAAATTTAATTGGACATTCTTGAATTATAAGTGATGTGGATGTACAGTGTTTTATATATTCGGTAGATGTAATACTGAATAAAATTCTGTCGAGGGTTACTGATGTGTCTGAAAGAACCAGCTCTCGGATAACCTAGTTTGATATTTTTCCATGATGGTTCTCTCTTCTCATTTAGCCATAGTGTAAAAGAACGTTAAACAGTTAATATTTATTGACAGTCTTAAATAATAATGGTGTGTGAACATTTTACATGTATTTGCTGATAAGTATTAAGTATTATATAGTCCAGTTCTTTGTACTTTTATGCCAAGCATTTTATAATGTAATAATTATCATGTATCCAGTTTTACCAGTACTGCAGTTCAGTGGTATGGATATGTTCATCATGTATTTGCTTGGTGATGGCAACCAGTTGTTGATCTATTGTACGTCCCCCTTTGATATTCTACCAGTCTCCATACCCTACCGGTACTGGTGCGTGCTATCAGCCCTGTTGAGCCAACAAGGTCAGCCCTCGGTACATTGATGATTCCCCCATCTACCAGAGGCACTGGAAACTACTTGGGCAGGAAACTCACCTAATTTTGCTCAGAAGTTTCCTAGAGACATAAGGATCTTTTACGTGCCGTAAATCTATGACACAGGACCCACGGCTTAAAGTTCCTCCCGGAGGACTTGTTCCCTGAATTTTTCCGCCCTTAAAAATTCCACGACCTCCGCCAGGTTTGAACCCGGTTGGTGATGGCTTTAATAGCCAACACATGTAGCACAAGCCAGTCCTGGCCTTGACCCTGATATTGTTGTGTTGTGACGGATTTTAATAAAGAAATTGTATATTATAACACAACAGGATGCGCAAAATGAAAATTATTAAGAAGAGGGACTGTGATGCATAAATTCTTGGCACAAACCCCAGTCTTGTCTGGTTTTCCTTCAGTTGTCTTTCTTGGGCCCAGTTCAGGGAGAGAGGCCAAATGTTACTCAAAATAGCTTCCTTTTGTCTGGGCATAAGCAGTTGTTTAGAGGCATGTATCTACTACAGTTTGTTTATGTATGTGATAGTAATTGTATGTGTCAGACATCCTGTATTGCTAACATGTGTTGGTGATAATAGTGTCACATTGTGTACTAGCCAGTATGTTGTATTAGTGAAGTGGTTTGTCTTGTCCTGAAAGATAAATATTTTGTTAATTTATACTGTTGTTAAATTTTTGAAGATGTCAGTATCCCTTGTAAATGAGCATTTCCTGGATTTGAGCTTCGTAATTAGAAGTGCTTGAAAGTTCGAGAGCATCCACTGTGGCAAGATTACAAAATTGGGAATGTGTGTTCATGCCATCTGCTTGTGAAGAGTCTGGGAAGTCCATTTAAATTTGACTTTTAACTTCTCATGTTGTAAATTCCATTTAAAGAAATATAAAATATTCATTTAATGATGTTCATTGTATTTTTGTTAGGAAATTTGGCTGTTTCAGGATGTATTTAATTATGTAAGTGCAACTAGTATGTGGTAATTTTGCTACAGTGGATGCTGCTGAAAATTTATTCAGATTTGCAAACATTTCTAAAACCAGAAAATACTCACTGAATCATTTCCATTCACTTTTGTCACCAGCTATTTCTTTTCATTCTAAAATTTAGATTACCATATGTATTTACCTGTGGCAGCATGGGTTTTAGCAACTAAGCCTTAACTAGAGTAATTTAGTACTCTGATAATTTTAATCTGTTATTTGAATGGTTGTAAATTGAGGAATATTCTAGACTTTTTCTGATTCATTTTCATTCACTGTGGTACATTTGAACATTATGACCTGTTACCATTCAAGTATTATAACTTACTGTTTTGATTGAGGTAGTAGTGTAAAAATTACCCCATTAATGAGTGTCCACAACTTCCAAAGATATGCATTATTCTAAACCTAGCAGAATGCATATCTAAAATATTGACTCCTTTCTAAATGTTTATAGTATTTTTTTCAAATAATGTTATTAATTCAGGAGCGTTCCTCATTAAACATTATCTGAAAATAAGCTTGCTTGCTTTTGTCACATTCTATCCCATACATACGAAGTGGTATCAGAAAGTTCCCAGACTGTTATTGTTATAACTGCCTTGGTGAAAGGTGAGAAGGGAGGCCAAAGTCACACTTCTGAAAGCCTATTACATCAGTCTGCTAAGTGATACCACACTGTGGACATGCCTTGTTTTATAGGAGTGCTTTTTCGACTTCATGTTTTATTTTGTTTGCCATGCATGGCAAAATTGAGCAACGTGTCTGCATCAAGTTTTGCATGAAGCTCAGTAAATCTGCTACTGAAACTGCTGAAATGGTTGATGAGGCTTTTGGAGAACATTATTTAAGCTAGACAGCGGTGTTTGAATGACATTCACGTTTCAAGGTCGGTCGAGTGTTGGTTGAAGGTGACAAAAGTTCAGGGTGACCAAGCACTAGGAAAAGGACAGAAAATGTTGAAGAAATTTGAGAACTCATCAATGAAGACTGTCACTGAATAGTCTATGAGCTCGCAGACACTGTTCAGATCAGTTATGGAGTTTGCCAGGAGAAAATTTGAGCCTACACCACATTGCTCCTTCATCACAACAACATGCCTGCCCACACATCCCCGAAAACTACAGAGTTTGTGACTAACAACAGCATACAGTCTGATGTAGTCTGAAAGAAACCGCACTTTGTACATCATGTTCCGGAAAAGTAGACCTTGTGACATTTTGGTTATTTAAAAATAGAAAGCAGTTCAGTGAAAATAGAGTAGGTTATTGAAAACATAAGTGTAACAATATGTTTGATATATGGCTGGATTATAGGTTGTTTATGATGCCGAGTGAGGGAGTGTAATTAATCATGGATGACTGTATATGCCAGGGTAGCAGTCAAGACAGGTCATATTTCATTAAATGCAGATAGAAATAAACACTTGTTACCCTTACATGTGTAAGAGTGGGTAAGAGATGCAATAGGACAACAATAATCTTTGGGTTAATGAGGCTGTAGCAGTTTAAGCAGTTGATTATCATAAAATGGTATGACATGATGATCACAAAAAAAAAGGGGGAAGCAGTGGTTTAGCCTATCCTGATGCTTGCCTTGGTGCTATCCGAAAGTTCCCGAAATATATTAATAAAAACTATTACATCTTACCTAGATCTTATTCTGCACCATCACCTTCAAAGTAGTCCCCTTGGGAGCGCATACACCGATCCCAGTGTTTCTGCCACTTTTCAAATGCATCCTGGAAGTCTTTTTTTGTTAGGATGTTTAGTACCGTCTGCGTTTCTGCTTGAATTTCCTCAACTGTATCAAATCTTCGCCCCTTCAGCTTGATTTTCATCTTTGGGAAGAGAAAGAAGTCACATGGAGCTAAGTCTGGCTAGTATGGTGGGTGGGGAACAACTGCCATTTTGTTTTTAGCCAAACAATGTAAGCTGTATGCGGTCGTGCGTTGTCATGGTGGAGTACCCCGTCGTTCTTGCGCCACTTCTCTGGACGTTTTCTCCTCATGTCCTCCCTCAAACAGATGAATGAATAGGTCTTTTCCTCCTATTTTTATAACTGGTATCTAAAAAGTACCTTAGAGTTACATGACACATTGTATTTTCCGCCTTCTCCCACATTCAAGCCGATGTTACCTGTCATCCTCACTAGCATTGTCTGCAGTTGGTCAGATGGAAATAGACTTGTATATTTTATATTGTAGTTGGGTCAGGGGCAAAGGATCGATCATGCCTGGAAAGTCATCAGGTAATCGTGGCCGACAGCACCACCATCACCACCAGCATTACCAGAGTCGACGACGAAAATCTCATAAGATGGCATCAGGTTCATCAGGTGACCCCACTGCAAATGCTGAAGGAGTGGATGCATTTACTGACCTTGATGGGGAGACCCACCAACTTTTGGATGTCACTGCTCCACAACCAAGAGCAGCGATACGAGCAACACACGAAGAAACCGAAAATGTGTGGAGTATATCTGTTCAGGTGTTCATACCTTTTCTGGTAGCAGGACTGGGGATGGTTGGTGCTGGCCTAGTGCTTGATGTTGTTCAGGTGTGTATTTGTTAGTGTAATCTCATCTAATCTAAGTTTTCTAGTGTAATCTAAAGCAGACACATGTGAAACAGGAAATGTAGGAATCTGGTTAAAATAATCTGTCACATCATTTTATTAAAAAAACAGTTAAATTTTTTAGACATTTAAATGCAAATCCCGGTGTTGCCATCCATTGATATATTGGCAGTCTTTATGAAACATCCACTCCCCCATATGCCTTCATGGCATAGTGCTTAATTAGTTAAGCACAAGGAAAACGTTACCTTTACCCATGCCTGCTGCCATCTGCTGACAGAAGTTCTAAACTAACTGAGTAACGAGCCAGTCCCTTTGGTTTTGGAAGTTTTAATGCAAGTGCTCTGAGCTGATCCAGTCAGTACATGACATGCTAAGGTTTGGCTTCCAATATGAAGATCACAGCCCAAGGTGATACCTTCTGATATTAGCAATATGACTATGTGTGATATCACAAAAGCTCACTATGGATTTTTCTTTGAGCCCTTTCAGTTCAGCTCAAATCATGGAAATACTGAAATATTAAATAAATGAAATATGTTTTCATGTTTTTCTACAATTTTATGAAAAATGACTTTTATTTATGGGTAATAGTTTTAATAACATGTGCTTACAGCATTGGCAAGTGTTCCGTGTCGTATCTGAGGTATTCATTTTAGTACCTGCTCTATTGGGGCTCAAGGGCAATCTGGAAATGACGCTCGCATCTCGGCTGTCCACTCAAGCCAATTTGGGTCTTATGGACAACCCTAAACAACAATGGAGTCTCATTGCTGGAAACCTGGCACTCATTCAGGTTAGACATTTCTTCATCTGTTAATGAAGTACAGTCACAAAATTCATTCATTCATCAGTAATCTGTCAAGACGACAGGTCCACAGTCTCTTCAAAACAGTTCCTCCACTTGATGCGATCTAGAGCTTTCTCCTTCAAATGAAACATCTCGCATACATGGTATCTCTGGTTTTGGAAAGAGACTATCCAGGAAAAGTGATAATGTGGTAGTTTTTCCATTTGCTTTCCACATCGCAGTACAACAGCCGTTCAAACCACTCTGGTCACGCCTGTTGCTATACGAACTTGAACAATCTCGAGCATCATTTGCTCTGTCCTTCAAGTCGCTGCTGATGACGCTGCTTCCGGCATCAGTTTTTGGTGTCTCTCTTCGTCTGATGCCTCACCTTTGACCTGTCCAGCAAGGGAGGCCCTGCCAGTAGCTACGCTACCGCTGGCATAGCGTCCTTGGCATACTCAAACCCCCTCACCACGATAAGGTGGAGCCACCAACGAGGGGGAGTCACAAAATATAAAGTATAAAATAAAATAAGATATAAAATGAGAATAACAAATGCCAGAAATAAAAATACCCGATAGTCTGATGTTTCTCTTTTTAAATGTACCTTTGAGGCAATTTTTATTTATATTTTCAATGTTCAGTTGAGCACGTAATACTGTTTGCACTGCATATGTGTACTTAGCTTGTCTCCACATAGATATGCTATGGAAACTGAAGTACTGGGATAATGTTGTCTGTACCTGATCTACCAAGCCAGAAGCTTCAGTAATGCAGAAATGCAAGTAAAGAATACACATAGCCTAGTAAGTTATGTCGTGCCACAAAATTCCTTTCTTTGTGTTTTTTTTATTGCTATTGGGGTGGGACTAAGTCCCTTGTACTGCAGCCACTTCTGGCCTACCAGCCCCAGATGATAGGTGAGGGTGATTGTGGAGCAGTTGGTGGAATGAAGATTGGCAGGGGAAACCGAAATACTCGGAGAAAACCTGCCCCAGTGCCACTTTGTCCACCACGAATCCCACTTGACCAAACCCGGGATCAAACCCGTGCCGCCGTGGTGAGAAGCCAGCAACTAACCGCTTGAGCTATGGTGCTGCCCTTTCTTTGTGTTAGTATGCATTTTATTTGTAGAGTGTGAGCAATAAGTCATTGATTTCTGTTATGTGCATGTGTGGTGACTGTAGGTCTTGAGCTTCCTTGCTTGACGTGCAGAAGACAATAGCTGGCAAGTTGTACACTTGCAGAATGAAAATGTTGTTACATAGTAGACAGACAAGGTGGCTCAAATGGTGATGTGGTTTCAAAAGACTGGCTGTCTTCAGCCCTCCAGTCAAATACCATTGTAACACCTTTATGAAGACCATGACTGCTTTCTTTATAGTCCCTTCCAGTTTACAACTTTTATCTTCTCATATCATTTGATAGTTTCGCAGTTGGTGCAGTATTATCATGTATCATCAATTTTTGGATCCCTACATTAAATGACAGGTAAAGTTATTGATAATGATAATGATAATTAATTTAACATCCATAACTGTTACACAGGCACAATTGGACAAGTCAGTTAAAAACAGTCAAACACTACATGGCAACAACTCTTAAAATATAGAAAACAATGAATAATAGAATTCCTTTTTGATCAGTAACCCCTTTGTATAGCTTTCCAGCCATGGATGACAACTCAGCAATTCAGTATAAAGCAATAAATGTACTTAAACCACCAAAACACATGTCAGCCATGTAAAACAAAGCATCAGAAATTTTGTGAAGTTTTCAATTGACTCAATCCTTCCAGCCGCACTATGGCCCTGGGGTCGACTCAGCCTCTAACAGAAATGAGTACCAGGAATTAACTAAATAATTTTCCTGGGTAGTAAAGCGCGGCTGGTGCGTAAGGCTGACAACCTTACTGCCATCTGCCGATTTTCTAGATAATCTGGGACCCTCAACGTCTCACAACCCTATGGGCCTTCACGGCCTAGTACAAGGATAGCTTTACTTTTTTTTTCTTTAACAGCCCTAAGACCCTCTATATACTTCTGTATCATATCAAGACTAACCCGAGTTACCAAA